TTGTTTTGTCAGTCAGTACTGAGGGGATTAAGCAAAGTTTTCCTACCGTAAAGCTTGTAAGGACTTTTTTTGTGTGAGCACATTGAGATGATATGTGTTTTAAATTTGGCGCTATATAAATTAAATAGAAATTTATTTTCCTTACTCTGTTACTGCAGACTATAATTGTCTCCTACAGGTGAAAATGTCTAGATCCCCAACTGCAACCACTGATAATGAAATAACTGAATTAACAATCCCTTATACTGCAACACCACTAGAGGGCCAATGCCGCACACAGAATATGTTCAAATGCTGTTAACAGCTTGGTGCCCTGTGTAATAGTTGCTGTTTTTCAACACCCACCCTCTGCATATCCTCCTCCTTGACATTCTTTGTCGGAGGTCATTTTCTGTTCCTCTTTATAACCGAGTCCAAACTACCTGAGCCCTGCTTTAAGCTTCTTCCCCTGATAGTCCAATCTGAACTGGCCTCCTGGTTAAATCATTTCTCATCCAGTCTAGTCAGAATCTTACCGTTGTGTAGTTTCCCTCTCACCATTGCAGCCATCTGTCTCTCACAGATCACCAGCAATTTTCTCTACCATCTCCACCCTGCTTGTCCTCTCCTCTCCATCTTTTTTGTGCACTACAGGTACTTCAACTTTCATTACCTTCAACTCTTTACAACTTCCTTGCAAGTGCTGCGATGACCTCTGCTAAGGGGTTAGATGATCTCTTTGTTCTGCATAATGAAAAAGGAAACACAAACACATATATGTATATACATACATACACACATATATATATAATTTTTTTGCTATTAGCTGGAATCTTTTTACTAATTACTGTAAAAAAAAAAATGCTTTTCTACTACTTTGTCTATTGCTTACCTAGACGTTTTACTGCTACTCCATACATGAATGATGTTTGTGTATGTGTGACACATACTTGAGTAATCCCAAACAAAAGAGACTCAGGTTACAGCGAGCTGTGGGAAAGAAACCAGGCACACAACCTGCAAAATGACAAGTTTCATAGGCTGTGTGAAAGTATGCTGGTTTCCTTCACGAGCACAATGTTAGCAGTATAAACACTGAGTGTTAAGTATAACAGCTCTACACTGCTCAGTTCATGTTCACTTTCATTTTAAATAGGACTCACATTTATCTGTGACCTCGGGGAATTGACTCCATGTCGTTTTTTTTTTTTTACCCCTGCACATCTCAGCTGTGTTTATGATTTGCTCTTGGAGACACTTTTAAACAGCTTTAGAAGATTGTTTTGGAAGATCACTTTGATTCTGGTAGAACATTTGATCAGTCGTCAGAATTTGTCTAATTGATTTAGGATAATTTTCAGGAAATGACTCCTCTTTTATGCATAGTTAAAACACTGCATAGACCCTTGTCCTAACAGTAACTTTCAACCAGCCCCACAGCATCATACCACGATCACCATGCTTCACAGTTGGCACTGTACTTTTAGGTTTAGAAAGCTCCACTAACTCCTTCAAATGTCATTCTTAGCATCGTGACAAAACAGCTCAAACTTTGTTCAAATGGCTTTTTAGCGACATAATTGCTAAAAATCTTCACTGATTACCGTTTATCTAATGGTGAGGATTTCAGCTTTCTTTGGATATTTGTAAATGGGTGACATGACTGAAGTTAGCATCTCTAAATGTGTTTCAGCTACTCCGTCCATCAATTCAATCACAATTATATATCCTTATGTTAAATAATTAGGACAGGGATGTCCAACCCCAGTCCTGAAGAGCTACAAGCACACCTACATCAATGTTACCAGGCCTCTGTAGAACTGAATAATGTGCTGATAAGGGATTTTTAGCCATTTGACTCGTGTGTTGAAGAATTGCATCCAAAAGTTTTAGGACTAGACCGGAGTTTAGCATCCCTGGAAAATGTGATCAACTAAACATGAGTTAAAACAAAGAAAAACAATACCTTATACTGAAAATCAGTTCTCACAAATCTTTACTTTTTTTCATTTTTCTGAGGCTATCTGAGCATGTTACTGGATGTCTGGATGTTTTCTTTTATTTTTACTTATTGCAATTATTATGAACAGTTTAAGGCCAATATCTTTTTTTCCTTCATGAAATGGATCAGAATATTTTTTTTCTTCTTACAGAAAAGAACCTAAGTAACTTTTATTTAAAGGTAACTTTTGTTTTACTTTTACTTAAGTAACATTTTGCACTGGTACTTTACTGAGTATATTTGTTATCTAAGTTAATGTACTTTACTGGAGTTTTTTTGTATCTTTTCACCTCTCCATCGCACCAGACATTGTACAGGAGTGACATATCAATCATCTGGAGGGATCAGAGGGGTCCAGTGCCCCCTTCTAGCTCCACCCCAGTTTGATGCAGCCTTAATCTGCTCTTACTTGTTGCTTTAACAGAGTTGGTTTCATTTAAGAAAACAAAAACACAATAATTGACCCACTGCAGGGTTTAGGCGCTTGTTTGGGTCAGTTTGATTAACATTAAGGATTTAACCTTTAATTACCTTCGTAAAACAAAAACGGAAAGGAATTTGATTCCTCAGAGTTCTCCAGGCGCCATCAACAAAACCCCAACGCCTCCATCTGTTTTTGCTTCACCTTCAGCTAACTGAATCAAAGAGTTAAACTTTATTTTTTTTGTTTTCTGGCTATTTTATTAAAGGCCAGTTTACTACATAAACCTATGTAGGAAATAATCAGACTGAAGTCTTTCTGATTTATTAAATCTGGAATAAAGAGAAAAACGCTAACCAGGCCTCGGATCCAACACTGGACAGATGACACTGCTGCTCACTGGATGTTCAATGGTTTCTGTTTATGTATGTACAATTAAAATCACATTTTTAACAAAATATAAAATAAATAACATTAACAATACTAAGGTAAATGCATTCTGAGTGACCAACCTGCTAAAAGACTTATACATTTCTCTTTTTTTATTTAATGGTCTGTCTCTGCCGCTACAGACACCACCAATCATTTTTTTCTCCCCATAATACATTTCCCATGAAGCAGTGGGGTTACGCATACCGTCTCATACAATAGTTACTTTGTTTTTCTTTGTATATTTTGTATATCAGCTTTTTCATCAAGTTTTCTTTTTTTTTTTTTTTGCACCTGGGATTTTTTCTCCCACCCCTCTTCCTGAAACTGACCAACCACAGATCAGCCCTGCGGCCTCCTGCAGCCAATCAGGAGCAGGCGTCCAAGTGGGCATCAGACAGTGGCGTGGTCGAAGGTGAGAGGTTACAGAGGTCAGCAGCATCAGTGCCCAGGTAGGCTACCCTGGTGTGTGTGTGTGTGTGTGTGGAAGTGTGTGTAAATATTGGAATAACTATACTTACAGGGACTGTGTTTCATTTTTATTTTGGGGACATTTTTAGCTAAGAGTTCAATCGTTTAGTTATTTTGTTCACTGACGCTTGATGATCTGATCAGTCACTGCATCAGCTTGCAGACCTTACTGCTCTCAAAGATGGAAAGATCTTGAAACAAGTGCAGAAAAGCAAAGTGAATGAGCCATGAAGCAGAGAAATCACTGCAGGCTTTACCTGTCAGATATCTGTGCAGAAGGAATCCCACTGCAGTGGGAAACGTGAAAAAAGAAAGTGACCAATAATAGAAATCATGAAAAATCATGCCACCATTTAATATACTCTATCATATCAGCCTCAGACCTCTACATTTTGCTCTGGGAGGTTATTCAGCTAATATCTGACTGCATTTTTAGGCATTTAAATACTGTCAAAATGTTCTCAGAGGTTTTCACAGCACTGCTGATGGCCACTTTGAGAGAAAACAACCCTTAGAAGTAAGGGCTTCTGCAGCTAATATATGAAACGCATTTATGACTCTTGTCCCTAATTTGGTTCAAAATACCTCTGGTCTTGCAATGTTGGGTAATCAAAGTCCAGAAAGTAAAAATCTTTAACAGAGATGAGTTTGTACCATTTACATATCCAGCTCTACAACACAGACTTGGAGATACACAACTGCTTATGTGAACAGGATCAAGGAAACACGCAGAGTTTTTACTTTCTGGACTGAAATTACGCATCTCTGCTCTTAATACACCGAGGATGAGCTCTACCCAAGGAATGCCTGTCGATGCTCATCCCACACATGAGACACGTGCTCTGAGCACTACACTAGCCATCTACTGTATATTATGCTCAGTTATGTATAATTTTGCCAAACTTCACACTAATTATCTACTGTCATATCCAACAATCTGCACAATTTAGCATCTGTTCAAATAAATTACTCATAAGGCATTGTCTGTCATTTTGAAAGATCTGCTTGAGAACTAACAGAACATAACAGCAAATTAGCTTTTTTCTACAATGCTAAAAATAAAACACACATTTTTTTCCACCCCATTTCTTACTAATTGCTGTCCTGTTGCTTTGGTCAGCATTATTTTCAGGGAGGAGAAAAAATGAAAAGATAAACTTGGTTCAATTTGAATGATTAGTAGACAAGAGCCCAGCTTAGTAACAGTGCAGCAGTTAGCATCCAATCTGGCATTTCTAATCCCTGCTAAAGCAAAGGAATATTATATTGTTGGACTTCATTTGCATCAGTCTAGAATATAACAATGCTCTAACTTCTGGGAGTAAGATAAAAATAAAAAGAAAAAAAAAACACAGCTATTTTAGAAACAAGCAATGTTATTTCAACACTAATGCTGGGATTAGAAACAATCCCAGAGTCCTGCCAGGAAACTTTGGTCAAATCTGAGCTAACTTATTCTATGCCAGCATTTCTCCCAGTCTTTTCAGGAACTACACACGTCTGTTCCTGTAAATAGCTGGTTTGGTCTTGCGGGGAAGTTGAGTCAACTGGTCATCTGGTGCCTAAACATCCATTTTAACTTGAATAAACTCACAGCTGAAGTAGGAAAACCTGAGACTGACTGCAGCTGTGAGGGAAATAGAAACCAGGAAGAAAAGCTGGATAAGTTATGTTTCAGTACAGGCTTTTTTTTTTCTCTTTGTAATTTTTTTTAACTTAAACCCTGCTGATAATTATTCCCTAGACAACATTATGACTGATTAGTGAACAACCCCTGTAAGTAGAGTGATTCTAATATTGTCAGTGTGTGCCTGTTGTTTGGATTCCAGTGTTTTATTGCGGTGATGTCTGTCTGTATGTTGGGTGGAGATCAGTACAGTCTCAGAGGAACATTCCTCTGCTTGCAAAATATAATAATATCCAGATAAGGGACTCAGTAGGAGAAAAACTAAAAAAAACCAAAAACAAATAAAAATATAATAAAATTGTTCCTTATAGAGTTTTCTCTTAAAAAATAGACTTGTCGTCTTTTTGTAAATCAGTAGTTGGAAGGAATGTCAGCCTTCCTTCATCTGTTTGTTTATGACAGGAGGGAAACAATTGATCCAGAACGTAAATAAGTGTTTTTTTTAGCAGGAGATGGAGGGAGCACCCTTGGTTTTTCCAGTTGAACAGAGGAAAAACGGCAGAAATAAGGGGAATGATAAAGCATCCGACTTCTTTCACCTTTCCATTGTTCCTCAGGAAGAGGCCCCCGCTGGAGGGAAAAATAGGGCTGAAAGTCTGGGGAGTCCACCTCTGATTGGCTTTTTAAGGTGACTGGAGTGTAACAAAAAAGGCAGGGTGATGTCAGTAAAAACCCACTGAAAGTTCATGGCACAGATGAAGGTTTTTCCTCTTGAAATGCATCAGACTCTCACAAAGTAGTCAAGTACATCTCCACATAACAGTAGATCCTTACTGATAAATACTTAAATATCCAGGAATGCTTCCTTTTCCGGTTATTTTCTGCTGAGGTGAGAAAGGTGGAGGATAGATAAAGAAAAAAAAAACGAGGAAGAGGTGAAAACTAAATCTTGACCTGTAAACACGAGTAAAAACTCATTTTACTGCATTTTGAAAAAATTAAATCTTGATCATTTAAGTGCATCTATGGTCATATATGTTGGGTGATTCTAACTTTCTCCACTTCTGTTTGCAGAACATTTATTCTATTCTAATCATTTTCAAGGGTCTTTTGGCATGGAGAAAGATAGAAAAAGGTAAAGAAAAAAAGAAAAGGAAAAATATATTTAACTGATAGTTTAAAAGAGGGAAAAATGTGGCAGTAATTATAAAACTGAAATGGAAGAGGAGTGTCGGACAGAGGAGGGGAAATGCTCCGGTACGTCCTGTCCGAGGAATACGAGGCAGCATGGAGGCCGGCGGGGACTAGGATTCTGAGGAGGTGCGGGACCCGCCCTGAACCAGGGTTTTGTAGATATTGGAGGAGAGGAATCGTGGGTAGGAGTCCCTGTGCATCAGCGTGTAGATTTGCAGCTGAGCGTCTTCAAAAGTGTGAGGTGTGGGGTCCTGCATCTTCCTGTTTATCACCTCTCGAACCCGGGCATCCAGACTGACCTGGATAGAAAGAAGTTTAATTTAGCGAAGATAGAAGAAATCATGTTAAATTATTTAATTCTATCATTGAACGGTCGTATAAAATAAACATTTGTTCTACATCCTTTATTTAAAATAATCAGGGAGAATCTTTATTCAAATTGCAATTTTCTGATCAGATCATGAGTGATGCCACTACCTGCATGTGTTTAATACCTACTGTGTGGTTTTCAGCTTACATGTCAGAAAGAAACCAGCTTTATAATGCTAGAAACACAGAAATAATATGGAGTTTTTTTTTTTTTGTTTGAATACAAACAATACAGCTGGATAACTTGGGTTTTGGTTTTTTTAATTTTAGGAACAGATACTTTGTCACTTGGTTTGAATAAAAGAAGAACATATTTAGGAAAATTATCAGAAAGAGTTATAGAGAAAAGAAGAAAGGCTGCCCATCTCTTTGTTTTTCTATCTACTTATCTATTATTTGGAGCGGGGCTATGTCAAATATTTTCTAGCAGTTAGTATACTGCTACCCACAGCATTATTATGTATTATGCATGTACAGGGATGGAAATAACAAGTTTACATTTATTCTTATTCCCTTTTGGATATGCAATGTTGTGATATAACAACAAAGAATATATATACAGTTGTGCTTGAAAACTTACATACCTTTCCCCTAAAGAAAATGGTAAACTCACATTAATAATTCAAATAACACAAAACTGAAATAAATAATTATACATAAAAATGATAATGATAATTAAGTGAAATGAAATGTTGATTTTGAAGTTTTATTAAAAAGAATCTACATTCTTAAATGAATACATCTAAATCAGAGCCTATTTAACAATCGATTTCTTTTTTATAGAAAAACTAAGCCTTTAGTTAAAAGATCTAAAAAAAGTATTGAATTCATTTTGTTCCATTATTGCTGCAAGCAAAGAAGACAAATGAAAATGTAAACAAAAACACACCGGAGAAATGAAACTTTACAAAATGTTTAAAACAAAGTAGTTTTTGAGAGTAACTTTGCTGTTTTCTCTTTTTAAAATTATTTTATATTTTGTTTTCAAACTTTTTTTCAATTTTTAAAATTATTTTTGTAGTTTCAAATAGCATTTGTTGTCCCAACTGCGTCTCACGGATAACATTCTTCTCACTTAGAATAAAAACGCTGCTAATGTCCAAGCAGACCAATAGAAACGTATCTTTGCTGCTCACTTCAGAGGAAAGCGTGGAAAATCTGCATAATATTAAAGTATGTGTTTTGTACAACTCAATCTGAAAAAGAAATATTTAAAAGAAAAAAATTAAAAACTAAAATTAGAAAAACTAAAATATGAAAAAAATGTTTTGTTCTGTAATTTACAAAACAATGAATGTGAGAAATTAATTTCACACAAAAAGAAAAAACATACAAAAAAAATAACATTCTTAAGTCTAAATAAATAAATTAATAGAAGAGCGTTAGTTGTTTCAACCTTGGGACTTGCCTGAACCATAGGAGGAGACAACATGGATAAATAATGAATACATGGAACATATCAAGAATAAGTATCAAAAGTTAGAGAACGGATGAATACTGCATCTATGCTTGGGTTCCAAGCCAAGAACTGCGATTTAAAAAGAAAAATTCCCTTTTGCCAAAAATCACTTAATGATCTTTTGGAAAAATATTCTGAGAACTAATGAGCCACAAGTTTAACTTTTCAGAAGGGAACGTAACAGTTAATATCAAACTAAAAGGCCATTTAAAAGGAACATCCTACCCAGAGTCAAACATGGTGGTGGCAGTGTGATGGTGAGGGACTGCCATTGCTGCTTCAGGACTTGAAGATTTTACAATAATACATAAACCTTTTTGGCTATCTAGTAAAAAAATAAATCAGTTTTTGACCTTGAGCTCAACCAAACTCAGATAGATTATCTCAGTTTATCAGCTGATCCACCTCTGAATGGGTCATTAATAGAAATGAATGGGTATGGAACAGCCTAAATTCCAGACTCAATCCATCTGGGATCCTCTTCCATGACCCCAAACAGTCCATTTATGCCTAAAAACTCTCTAGTTGGTCCAATTTAAAGCAATTTTACAGAAAATTGGGCCAAATTCCCCACAGAATGAATGAAAAGCCTCATTGCCAGTTTTAAAATGACTGCTGTTTTTCGCAGCCAAGCGTTACTCAACCAGCCATCAGCTTTAGGGTCAATTATGTTATCACAAAGGGCTACATTGATTAAGAAAGCATTCCCTTAATAAATTAAATCTTTATGTAAAATCTTTGGATTTACTCAGGTTATCACTGTCTATGGTCTATCACTGTTTGAGTTAAAACAAAAAGGAATCTTGGAGGAAGCAAATCGGTTTTCACATCACCGTACATGAATCCGTTTTTATCCAACAACAGCTGACCCTATAGGTTTACGTCTGACATTTTGTACTTACTCAGATGTTTTATTAATCAGCTCTCATAGAGGGAAAAGTACACAGAGAAGCCCTGTAAAACACACACAAACACACACACAGAAGCCCTGCAGGCACCAGCAGATATTTATAGAAAGACAAGCTTTCTCTTATGCTTCCCCTCTGCTCTTATTTAGGGAAGACTCTGTGTCCCTCTAACTCACACAAACCCAAACACACATGCACACACACACAAACCCACAAATAGAAGAGAGATAGGCATCGTACCAAGGTCAGATGTGCAGACAGACAGCCTGGCATGCCTCCTCCGTGCCAAACTCGCATGGCTGGATATCTCTCTCTGTTTTAGTGCGTGTTGGTATGTGTGTGCGTCTATAAAAAAAGTCTTTAGTGCCAGAAGGTGATGGGGAGCGATTTATAGCCTCCTGTAAACACACTGTACAAACACACGCGGTGGCGTACATGTATACACTAACATGTCAACACATTCTGATGAGCTAGTGATGGAACCTGACAAGAGAAGCCGGAGGCTCCCAACACGCATACAAACACACAGACAAATCAGTGTAGTAAAGAAGGCTAGCCTCCTCCCACTCCTCACATGGAAGGCACATCTCTTCCTATAACACCCGATAATCATTGGGTCAATCAGGACTGGGCGAACACTGAGCATGCTCAGAACAGCGGCACATCAAAGCCACCGATTGTGAAGCATCCGACTAAGGAGTTCTTCTCAGTGCTGCAGTTCGACAACATCGATCAGAACAAGCAGTAGTGAAACTAAATAGTTGTTTTTAGGTTTCCAGAAGCAAACTTTACCTCTTTTGGCGATAATATAGAAATATAGTCTTCGTAGATGGACCGAGCTTTTTCCTCGATGGCACTTTTATTGATTTCTTGTTTGAGGTCTTCACAGGCCAGCCAGAACAACATGTTCTCCTCGCTGTACTCTGTTCGTAGGAACTCCCGGAAAACATTTCGGCCTGCTGGGTTCCTCATCAGCTTGTCAAACGACTGAGACCACATCCGGATCTCCTCCACCGAGGGTTTGGGGCTGTGGGACAGAGAGCGGGACATCTCATGTTTGTTTTGGTTTTAAATTATTTAAAAGAAAAAAAAACAAAAAAACTTTTACATCAACAGGGAGTCCTTGTAGAATATTAGTTCATGGAACTATGGGTCTAAAGAAACTGATATTTACATTTGTCAAATATGGGTTTTGATGGCTGCTCTGCAATCTAATGGAGATGATCAACAGCAACAGGTCAAAATGTACAGTTATTATATTAATTATATATATATACTAAACTTTTCAGCTCGATACCGTTACTAAGTAAAATATTCGATACTCAATGTCATTTTCGATACCACAAGGATAAAAAAACAAAATACAATAAATAGATAAATAAATACAATAAACAATATTTTAAAGTTGTATGCTGCACACAAAATTAAGCAAGCTTGATAAAAAACTTGCAAAATTAAAATTAAGTGTTCCTTACTTGGCTATGCTTTGCACACATAACAATGACACTAGCCAAACCAGTTAAAAATGAAAATAATTCTCAGCAGCTGCACCTGTTACAAAAAAAAGTCTGAAACCGAAAAATGCACAGAATTATTCAATCATACATTGTTCTGAAGGTGCATTTTCCTCTAATCCGCGCATAAGATGAATTACTGTTTAGGTGCCACTGGTGGTGGCACTGTATCAATACTTTTGAAAATGAGTATTGTATCCGGATACAACTTTTCAGTATTGATACTTTTTTAGTATCGATACTTTTGACAACCCTAATATATATATAAAAAATTATATATAATATATTATTATATTTACATCAAACACTGCATGACAATACAGACCTCGCCAACAGTTTTACTTATTTTCTTGTATTCGCAAAAATTGAGCTTTTAATGACATCTGAACAAATGACAACAAAGTAAAGATTGCCTGCAGAAAATGGAAATTATTGATCAACTTACTGAAATTTGCAGCTGTTTGGAGAAAAGTGAAATGGCTTGATAAAGTACTGACTGTTCTTCTGGACCACAGTGACATTGCTGCCAGATTTGATGGCTAATTGCGCAATGTGGATAGGATAACTGAGAGGAATAATTAGAAACAGGTTTGGGAGAAACGTGGAGCAGACAATGCTCAAAAGTAGTGTCAGAAACATGAAACCAACTAATAAAAAAAAAGAAAAAAATGTACCATTTCTCTCTAGAAGAGTGGTCAAATATTGCGACAGAATTATGCCAGGGATTTGTTGATGTTTGCATAAACTGTGTGCTCGCATTGAATGATGCCAAGACACATATCAGCTGGTCTGTATGCATGGAGGAGACCGCTTGCAGTGGAAAAGTAAAAAAAAAAAATTACAGCTTATGAGCCCAAATCTTGAATTTAAGAATGACTTATGTTGAAATGCTGTATAACCATTAAAACACAAAAACTAAAGAAATTAAGCCAAAATATTTCTTATGCCTATGATAAGATTAGTTCAATTCAGAAATAAAATTTACATCAAAAGAAGATGCAAAATGTTGAGTTAAAAAAGGGCAAAAAATAAAGATAATCTGAACTTTCTTAATATTTTATGATTAAATAAACTTGGTCAGAGGTGAAATAATTAATGGAATTAATAACAATTAATCGATTACTCAAATAACATATAATTTACTTAAAAAAAACCTCAGAGCAGTAAACAAACCAAATCTTTACTAAATAAGTGTATATTTTGCATAGAAGAAGAAAAAACCTTCTTTCTCATGAAATATGTCCTATCCAGAACTCTTCAAATTTAACTTATACTGTTTCAGATTCAGTGAAAACCTCCCAGAGTGCAGCTTTTACTTTCTAATTTATGGAAAAATAATCAACAAATGAACAATATGGGAAAATCAATGTCAGTTGCAGCCAAGAATGGATTTCTTTTTTTTTTTTTAAGGAAACCATGTCAGGACCAGAAGAGGCCCAGACATTGCTTATGGGCAGCATTTAATCTAAATCCATGATGCGATTGTGACCTATTAAAAATTTAAAAATGGTAAACTAAACTATGGCTTAAAAAAACTGGAGACTGGTTCAAATTATTCATAAATGGGCCGACAAAACTTTTAAGTTCAGAACGACTGGTTTCTACATTTGAAAGCGTAACCTTTTCCTTTAGTGCAGCAAAACACCAACTAACTAAAACAAAATAAAACAAAAAGCTATGTTTTGGTTCATAAATGTTGTGAAAACATACAGCAACATGTAAATACAATCAACCTAAAATTCCTATCTAGTTATCGGATCAAGATTCCGGTATTCAGAATATATTTTTGAAAGAAACTCCTGGACTTTACATTTTTAATGATCAGATATTAAAACTTTAACAACATATTAATGCAAGTATTCATTCAACGCATTTTGTCTGTTTTATTGCTCTTCTATTAATAAATTTTCGGGCAGTATGTCTTTGCACTTTCATTAACTCTAATTGAAACTGCTCTAAATCTACGTTTTGGCCACAGAGGCAAAAATAGATTTAAGAAGAGCCAATTTGCAGCGTTTAAGAGCCGTCATTCTAGCTAAGCAAAATCTACACTAACATCTATGGGAATCCTTGTCAGCATCAACATCTGAAGTCCCCATTGAAAGCAGTAATAAAGGAAGTTGCGTGTTGGCAACAGTTGCAAGGCTGCAGAAACTCGGATTGTTCAACTTCTTCTAAAGTTTTAAAGTTCTGTATTTTTTTTTTATTATTTCCAAACAGCATAAAAAAACCGGCTTAAATGTTTACAATGCAAAGAAGAAAACGGTACTGTGACTCCAACCAAATCTGTATTTAGAAGAAATGCACTCTTACCAAGTTTCAAGTTTGGTTTCCATCTTGGTGTCCTGCGATATCCTCTTCCTCCTTCTCCTTTTCCGTCTCTCCTCTTCATTCCTGACGGTGAGACTGACATGATAAAAACGGCTTTCAGGCAGGAAACACACACACACACACCACACCCCACCCAAAAAAAAAAAACACTCAACCACAGCTTACAAGGTAATAATTGCTTTTAGAACTACAAACACATGCACACTTACACACAATGAAGTTATTATCCCATTTAATGACAACATAAGCCACAGATATGTTAACAGCAGCTGAAAGCAGTAGTTACAAGTGTCTGTACTTCCATTCTGTGTGTCTGTGTGTAATTGAGAGCAAGCTACAAATAAATAATTGGAATACCTTTGGGAACTACTAAGATATAACTGCATGGGTTTTGACTGCTGTGGATCTTATTTTTACTGACTTTTTATAATTAAACAGGTGTGGTTTTAAAATATGCTGTATAGTGACTCTACTGCAGAAGCTTAAATGAGAGAATGACAGGAAACCTCTACAATATAGCTTAAAACATGTCTGTCTGTAAAGATTACAATGAAGAAAATTGTCTTTGAACTAGAAACCGAAACTTGTTGGACATTGGTTTTTGATTTGCTTCTAAAAACTACTTCTCAGCAGGATTTATACATACTGCTGAAAGCCAGAATGACAAACTAACAAACTTGAGCCTCTTTTACAAAACGAAAAGAAAAAAAAAGAAAAAAGAAAACCCAATGGTAAACAAAAACTCCTTCCAGCTGCAGCTTTTTACATGCTTTTACAGGCTGCTCAGTCTGTTACGGATTTGATTTTAACACACCAAATATAAAATTAAACAGCAAAAAATAAATAAAAAAGGAAAATTCCCTGCTCCAGTGAAGCTGTGCACTTTCCTTAAAAGAAATTTAAAATCTCAGCCCCAGTTTTCAGTCTGACCGATTTTAGGCATTCAGATAAACAAACGACTTACGATCAAAAACCTAAAATGTCTCATAGTCAGAACAACTGGAAAAGAGGAAACGATTCCTGTTGGATGAAACATATTTATTTTTGACAAGAAAATAAGCAAGAAAGAGCAGGTGGTTAAAGGAAAATTCCGGTTTTTAACACTTTTAGCCCATTTTCTGTAGTGTCCAGGATGAAATCGAATGA